GTTCTGGGAAATGAACATATTTCAGGGTTGCCCATAGCCATCCACATTGTGTAAAAAAATGTGTTTTGTTGAATTGTATTCTAATAGTTTGACCCCTCAGAACATTGAATGTGGATTGATTAAATGAACATACTGTATTTAGTAAAACCTGTCTAATCCAAATGCCTATAGGACTACAGTGATCTGCCCAGGATTTTGAAAACAGGCTTGCACCCACCTGAAAATCCATTTGCACCAACTTGAAAATAAGAAAAATCATGAAAAATGGGCATATTTTGACTTTCGGACTGCATTGTGAAAATTAGAATTTAGCACCCACTTGAGGAAAAATCCTGTGGAGATCACTGGACTAGCAAAAAGCTGAATTAAATCGGGTGGGGAGGGACGTTCCCGTTGCAAGGTTTTATCATACTGTACTTGTAGTTAATTTGTATTGACACTTGAATTGAATTTCAATTTAGTTTAAATATGTATAAAATATTGATCAGATAGATATCTTAAACATGTAGAACCTGTAAAATCCATAACTGATCAAAAAGATACTTTTCAAACAGGGATTCATCAATATAATCTCCAGATTAAAATGCATTTTATCACGGATTATCCTTAAAACCATTACAGCTTTGTAAATAAAATTCTATTGAAAATGTATTTGTTGACCCCTACACTATAATTATGAAAGGCCTACAGTTTGGGAATCTGTGTGTGTAAGTGGATTTTTTCAAGACCCTTTTTTAAAACCACTCAAGTTATTTTTTAATGGTGATTTCTGGCCAAGTCTCAAGCTATTATTGTAGATTTTCTTAGATTTTTATAAAATTTAGAGTACTGACGCCATGTTTGTTAATATAAAACCAACCCAATTTCAATTTAACCCCGTCTATTCCGTATTTTCCAGTATTATGACGTGTCATCTTATACGCAGGAACACTTGTGGCACATGACAAAAAAGTCTGACAATTCCAAGCGATTATATTAGTTCTCAGGTCAATAATTTCACTGAATCAACTTATTTTTTTATATATTAACAAGTACTGCTGCACTTACAAAGTAAATACATTTAAACTTACAGGAACGATAGACAGGAAAATTGGGTTAACTTAATAATTGGAACAAGAAGTACGCTCTAATTCTTCAAAAGGTCTTCATTCTTCAGAGGGCTCTAATTCTTCAGAGGGCTCTAATTTTTCAAAGGGCTCTAATTCTTCAAAGGGCTCTATTTCTCCAGAGGGCTCCAATTCTTCAGAGGGCTCTTATTTTTCAGGGCGGTTCTAAATATTATGGGGTGGTCAAAATTTTGCAAAAATATCAATTATGATTTTCAAAATTCTAATTTTGTCCCAACGTACTCTTTTTTGACCCATAAATTCAGAAAGTAGATTTTTCAAAAAGTATGTCAAAGTGTGTCAACTTGAAGCTTGGCTATAATAGAAATATCCTTGATATTCTTCGCAAAATCAAACTTTAGAAAGGGCAGGTCCGTAGCCAGGGGGAGGGGGTACGCAGGGTTCAAGCGAACCCCCCCCCCCCCTGGCCAAAAGTTCTTTCAAAATCATGCAGTTTTTTACCATTTTAAGCACTTCTCAAGTGATTTCAGCCATATTTGGGCAAAAATTGTAAAATCTGAACTCCCCTGGAAATTTTTGAAAACTGAACCCCGCTTGGCAAATCCTGGTTAAGGGTCTGAAGGGTATGACTAAAGCAAGTTACTTTTGCCAAACTAACACTCAGAATGATTTAACATATTGACACATTGTTATATAATATACATAAATACCTTCAATTTAACATATGTACATGTACACTACCTGTCCAATTAAATCATTGTATTAAGTGGTAACTATTTATATAATCATTTTTATATAGATGTTTAAGCGAACATGTAAATTGTATATAGGTGACTGATTTGAGAACTGTATCCCCATTTTAGTGTACCTCATTTTTAGTATATCCCATTTTAGTATACCCCATTTTAGTGTACCTCATTTTTAGTATACCCCATTTTAGTGTGCCTCATTTTTAATATATCCCATTTTAGTATACCCCATTTTAGTGTACCTCATTTTTAGTATATCCCATTTTAGTATACCCCATTTTAGTGTACCTCATTTTTAGTTTACCCCATTTTAGTGTACCTCATTTTTAATATATCCCATTTTAGTTTACCCCATTTTCAAGGGTCCTGGTGGTACAAAAAGGTTGCTTTAATGACATAGAGTTGACCCTTGTTCACTCAAATGAAATTAAAATGCTAAATTCTAATAATAATATTTATATTTTTGCAAACTAACTTTCACTGATTTGTCATGAAACATTTTTTCTTATCCAATACTGTTAGTTTATCTTCTTATTAATTGTTATCATTTAATCTGTCATTTAGTGGCATATGCCCCTAAATTGGCATATAAACAACTAAATGTAAGGAGTTGATAATATCTTATATAAACTGTTTCATGAGATTTAAGTTAAGGTATCTTAAGCCTGTTAAAGGTGCCAAAGTGAAAGTTTAAAACCAAGAAATGAATTTGGAAATTTAGATTTATAGTTTTTCAAAAAGTAAGGTGACATATAGGTGAATATGGGTTTTGATCATTGTATTTGACAATGGTGGCCTACTGGCCTCTATTTCAAATGGTGAGCCTATTTTTCATGGTAAGGCCAGAGCCTACAGCCATGAAGCTTTTGCCAAGGGTGGTCGATTTTATAAAATCCAGGAAGGGCCCAAATTCAACAATTTTGGCCAAAAATCAATTGAAAGTGCTCAAAAAGGTGAAAACTGCATGATTTTGAATTAATTTTTTGGCCATGGGGGTATCGCTCCAACCCCCCTCCCCCAAATGTCTCCTGGCTATGGGTCTGAACCCATAATCTGCTTCTGTCATGAAATCCCCTTGTATATTTGCCAATGTGTTAGATCATACGTTAATTAAGAGAACAAATAATTGCATTGATTGCTAATAAGTACTATTGACCTAATCACCAGTGAAGTATTTAGATGACATTTAGGGGAATGCCTTTCAAGAGCTAGACACAATGGGAAAATTCCATAAGTCTGTGTATTCATGGAATTCAGTAGAATGCAATAAACATTCAGAGTGCATGTTCTCTGTATTTCCATCCGATAAAATCAGATTTTATTAATGATTTTGAGCATATATGTCAATTCATTTCAAATCATTTTTTATCATAAAACGTAGACTAAAATTTCTGAAAGAGCTGATAAAATGACGAGTTGAACTTGACTCAATCTGCATGTGATACCAAGTTGTCAGAGTATCACAAGAATCATGTATCACAAGAATTAGAACTGAAAATATGTGATATTATGATATCACAGACCAATTCAATGTAAACATGGAGCTAAAGATTGGTAATAAGTGAGATAAAAATTTCAATTTTTAAAATGACTTAACAACATGTACAAATAATATCAATGTTGCCCTAAAGGTACTTTTCCTGATGTTGTGTTGACCTTTTTAACGTGTAAATTACGTATATTACAGTAAAACCTGTCTAATCCGAATACCAATATTATAGATAAGCCAAATGTTTTTGGAATAGTAAGTGTTCACAATTTAATTTTTCACGGGATGGACGTCTATGGCAGACTGAAATTATGGGACAGAAAAATTATAACATTTAGGATTATTTTCCCTGGCTGCCTTAAAATCATATCTCCCACTCAGGAATGTTGTACAAAATCTTACAAATTATACAAAACCTGGACAGATTGTACTATATTCAAATTTCTCAAAATTTCGACAGGTTATAACATATAATAACCAAATACTGGAGATATATCTGTGTCTGTGGAGGAAAGAAGACCCAAGATGTAAAATGCTTTTTTGTACAGTGTAGTTTGTATTGAGACATACTCCCCTAAAACATGTCAACTAAAAAAGTTGATGACAATTCACCTGCTAATGCTCCAGATTAGAAAGGCTCTATCATAGAATTACTTCTTATTCAGAGAGTCTAGTTATCTAATGCTTTTTAAAGGGTTACACTTTACCTGATAAAACATGCAACAAGGGATAATGTCAATAATGAATATTTACATGGCTAAAGCACATTTTGAATAAATGTAATCTGAAGAGTCAACTGGTATAACATTGAATTTAAAATGATACCTAATAACTTTCTGTCAACTTTTCAAAATTCAAAAGTAAGTCAGTACCTCCAAAATGGCTCGTGAAAGATATAATTGTGATTATTTTTTTGAAATATGACAAAAAAAGAAAAATGCCTATGGGGATTGTATATATAAATTACCATATCAAATGCAAGTTATTCAAGCATGAGAATTATATATATATGGAAATTATGAAAATATTATTAATCATATCGATTGATTTCAAAGTGGACTCTATCATTAATAACTGTTAATGGTTTCCACTCGTATTTGAAATGCTCTACAAACTGAATGCTGCTTGAAAGCATAGATCATTACCCTTGCAAAAAATCATTAGGTTATTAATGAGCCAGTCTGCTAAATGTAATCTTGTAGCAACCCTTACAAATTAATTAAAGAATGTCGCAGAAACCCTAATTTCACAAAGTAACGACTGAAATAATTTTTTGGAGGTATTATTACTTCCATCTCAGAATAGGTTCAGAATAGTTGTGGGGGCATTTGTGTTATTTGTGTAATTTGGTTGTTTTCCTAAATACTTGATCTACAAGATTTGATTTTTGAAATCAAAACAATATGACACCGTAAATCAAATAACTTTAGTACATATATGTTTACAGTCTAATCCTAACAATGTCATAATATTGTATTAGATTGAACGCCTACGGAATTTTGCAATTATTGAGACGGCCCCCTTTATGTTTACAATGTAAAATTACTACAGGTTTGAATTTTCAAACCGGTCATATTTCACACGTCGATTTCTTGCTGAATACTGGTTGATTTTCGATAAAGTAAGCACCAAATTCTTCAGATAGTATTAATGTAACAATTGTGATATCAGTTAATAAATCAAATGTGTACTTACTGGTGAATACGCCGATCAAAGCCACGAACAAGCTGCAGGTAAAAATCCAACGCGCCATGATTTTTCTAGGTGAGGAGTAATGTGAAAACGAGGCTATGTAAACACAAGCACGTGGTGATCGCCCACGCCCCTTCTCTTGATATGTGTCGTGATGTGGTCAAGTCGTATACGATTTATGATGAAATAAAAGTTTTGATAGTAAAGTTTGATTTTCAAACTGAAAAAATCTGTGACATGATTACTAGATTCTCCTGAGATTGATCATCGGCGAAGTGATTGCAAACATGGGTATTATTGAAAGTCCATGTTGCGAAGTAGCGAAGTATGAAAATAATGGTACCCCGGGAAATGGTAACGTTTGCAAGATTCGATTTAGCAAAGAATTTTAATTTCTGTAAAAATACATCTCATCTTGTAGAAGTTATTGGTGATATTGGTTATTGGTGATGAAAGATGAAGACCGTGTCCAGTCTGATATAATTGAATAGAAGGCCTTTTTTAATTTTTGACAGTAAAGTACCTTATCAATCAAAGGCGGTATTCTGAAATAAACGTCGACATTTTAAATCGGATATCTGAAACACCTTTTCAGAAAATATTAGTCTTGTACGGAAACATTTATCCCGTGTACAATAGTCCTGGAACGGGATAAGGAAACATTGGTACTGGTACGCTCTTTTAAATAATTGCCTTCATCATACAGTGCTGCCATCTTTTTATCGGTCTAAAACTCTACCGTGTATATTCGTTAATTCAAAATATTTTACCTGTATTTATTGGTGAACATGAGCATGATTTCATGGTTAGTCGATAACTCAAGTTCCTTAACACCCCAGTCACATTTGTCGTACGGAGGCCGTACGTCGATCGCAGATCAATTAAATCAGTGTATTTCTGCGGCGAGCGTAGGAAAACTACGGCCTCCGGACGGCGTATCCAGTTTTTTACAGGCCGCAGGGTCGCCGTCGAAATTATAACTCGGAGTTATAATATTTGTTCATTTCTGAGGTCCCCGTAGAAATCAACTGGCTCAACAAGATTGAATCATTATTTGTCAATGTTTCACGATCACTTTTCATTTGATATTACATCCTAGCACTATGAATAACATTTATAAATTGTCCCGATGTAAATAAAATGAAAAAAGTATGATTTACCGTATCAACAGAAATTTAAGATTCACCGTGCGAGCGTAGAAATGTTACTGTCCGCAGAAATGATAGACCGCAAGGTCGCCGTAGGAAATGTGACTGGGGTGTTACTAGAGATCAATAACTTGGAGTAGTACTAAAATATACTCAAAGCATATAGTCGGGAATCGGGATTTGAAGTGCGATTACATTAGGTCAAGGTGGAAAATACAGTGCGAGTAGAAATAATATTGATTTACTTCATTACATCTAGGACCATCCTTGATTAAATATTTAAAATTTACTAAAAAGGATATCTTATTCGAAGTCAACATATAAAATTGCAGCTAGAAAGTGGTTTAAAAAGTTATTATTTATAGCAACTTTGAAAACTTATTTTTCTTTAAAAATGTTGGGGAGATTCGGAGTGATTCCCCATAGGCAAAGACCCCGTGTCACAAAAAGTAAAATATATTTTCTTGTGTTGGGCAGATAATATTTTATTTCATTGGACATATTTTTATCTGTATAACTATCAGACACAAACGGATTATATGAAAATTGACCCACTTAAACTCATGATATTCACGTTTAATTAATTAACCCAATGACGTACTTGATTAACCCGAATCAGCCACCTGGAGGTGAAACTGGTAAGTACCTACTACCATCCATCATGATAAACCATGACATCTCATTTCGACTCAGCCCTGAGATGTTTCGGGTGAAACAGAAGGATGCTATGAGTATCAGAATGACTACCATTTGGGTAATTGCTTATTATATGTTTGGCATTTTCTATACTTACAGGGTCTCGGCTTGGCAGTTATTTTGAAAGTACTGCCAAAAAGGCGAAAAGTAATAGCTAAGTACAAGGTTGTCTAAAAAATTGGAAATTTCAACGCAAAGCCTTTATTTTCTCTTTAAAATGCACCAAAATTTTACTGAGCATAGTTCAGTCACTTATCTATCTGTTGTAAAGTAAAAACCACAAAGTTCATGCGTTAAACTAGTCAATATTTAAAAGGACCCCTTTTCTTAAATATACACTTGTGAATCTCGCCGCTACTTTTTCAAGTATTCTTTATTTCAAAGCTTTAATTAACAATTTTATAAAATGATATTCAGTTGACAAGACAAGTATTCATCCTGCTTCATCAAGCTTCGGACCTATCCTCATACATCTCTGGATTACTAAAAAATATTTTCTTAACCCCCCTATCACACCAAACTAGTTCTTACCCGTTCTTGCCAGTCCTACGAAAACGTCCTAAAACGGGCTCAATCTGGCTGTGGTCGGGAAATATGTCTGAAATAATTAGCTCTTTCGTTCTTAAACAGTCTTCAATACGTCCATCTCGTTCGCAGTTCGTTCAGGTCGCACCACGTCGGTGTGCAACGTAGTAGAACGCGTCCCTTAGTCTAGAAGGTCAACATGACCTGATTACAGAACGGTATGGTTGCCATCGAACTTTGAATCGATTCAAAATTCTAAAATCACATTCCCGTCTGAGAACGTTCATAAAGTTCGTAAATAGACGTTAGAAAGTTGCAGCTACGTTCATTCCGTTCATGTATATCCAAAATTATGGCATATTCTATACTTTCTATACTTTCGAACTGCTTTTTTTAAATGATACTTTTTCAGTCCTAGACGATTGGACTCTCTAAAGTCTATACATGTCTATACTTTCTATACTGTCTATACTTTTGATTTTGGTGAATTCCCTTTGTCTATACTTTCGATACTTTCGATGCTTTCTATACTTTACATTTTGGTGAATTCCCTATGTCTATACTTTCGATACTTTCGATACTTTCTATACTTTACATTTTGGTGAAATCCCTATGTCTATACTTTCTATACTTTCGACACTTTCTATACATTGTAAAACAATATGTGACGTCATAAGTTTCTTGGTCACTTTCGATTTTGGTGAATTGCCTCAATGTATTGTAAAACAACAATATGTGATAGAAAGTATAGAAACTATAGACATCTAATTTGTCAAAGACAGTTTTGTGAAAAGCAGATAGAAAGTATAGAAAGTATAGAAACTGTAGACATCTGAAGACAGTTATAGGGAAAAGCAGATCGAAAGTATAGAAAATATAGAAACTATAGACATCGGATTTGCCGAAGACAGTTTTGGGAAAAAGCAGATAGAAAATATAGAAACTATAGACATCTAATTTGTCGAAGACAGTTATGGGGGAAAGCAGATCGAAAGTATAGAAAGTATAGAAACTATAGACATCTGATATGTCGAAGACAGTTATGGGAAAAAGCAGATCGAAAGTATAGAAAGTATAGAAAGTATAGACATCTGATATATCGAAGACAGTTCTGGGAAATAGCAGATAGAAAGTATAGAAAGTATAGAAACTATAGACATCTGATTTGTCTAAGACAGTTATAGGAAAAAGCAGATCGAAAGTATAGAAAGTATAGAAACTATAGACATCTGCTTTGTCAAAGGCAGTTAGTATGAAAGGGCATTTCGAAAGTATAGAAACTATAGACATCTGATTTGTCGAAGACAGTTATGGGAAAAAGCAGATCGAAAGTATAGAAAGTATAGAAAGTATAGACATCTGATTTGTCGAAGACAGTTCTGGGAAATAGCAGATAGAAAGTATAGAAAGTATAGAAACTATAGACATCTGCTTTGTCAAAGGCAGTTAGTATGAAAGGGCATTTCGAAAGTATAGAAACTATAGACATCTGATTTGTCAAAGGCAGTTGGTATGAAAAAGCAGTTCGGAAGTATAGAAAGTATAGAAACGTCGAAGGCAGATAGTATGAAAAAGGAGATCGAAAGTATAGAAAGTATAGACAATGTATAGAAAGTATAGACATTGCCATAATTCTGGATATACCTCATTCCGTTCGCACACAGTTTAAGACCAGTTTTGAAGGACGCAGTGGCAACTTGTTTGGTGTGATAGCTATATTTTTGCTAACTCGTTCATCAGCAGTGTTAAATACGTTCTTAATCAGTTTAAACCCGTTTGCAATTAGTTCTACCTCGTTCTCAACACGTCCTCGGACAGTTCAACTCGTTGTTAAAACGTCCCTAGTAGGATTGAAGTACGACGGTTCCGATCGTAGTACGTCCAGCTCGTCGTTAGTACGTTGTCACTCGTTCTAATTGTAGAACGTGACGACCACGAAAACATTTTGAGCATTGTCTAAGTTCTAGAGGACCTACCCGTTCGAGTACGTTCGATGAAGTTTGTAAATAGATCCCAAACGGTTCTTAGTAGGTCCAGTCCGTTCGTACACAGTTGAAGCCCGTTTTCGAGAACGTAGTGAGAACTAGTTTGGTGTGATAGTAGGGTAAGAGAATGGCAGAAAGAACATGCCAGAGTTGAGCGATTGTATGACCCACACTACTACTAAATTCAAAAATCATTGTTTCGATTTTCCAATCGAGGCAAAACTAATTCCAGTTGTTATGGACAAGTTATGTAAAGACCAACTCTAAGCACATATAAATCAGTTTTGTTCTGTGAGACTCCTTTATGATATTGATAGACATACATTTATATTCAAAGGGACTTCATCTACCAGTCAAAACAGACTGCCCTGACCTCTTTCTGGAGTAGATTATTCCATCAATAATACACCCAAGACTAGCCATCAAAATGTATATATGGGTTAAACCCATAAACCGTTTGATACCCATCAATTTTGATAAAAATGTTGAATATGTCACCCGATTCGATCTTCTAAGGCAAACATATAGGACGTTTGGTTAAGCTGAAATTTTTAATCAAGATGGCTTGGACAAAACAAGCGAACAGCTAACTGGATAACTAATTTCAAAACTGAGTCCCAGGCTTGAATTTGTAATTCAGGAGAAAATGGGCAAGCATTGGCTTGTTCAACCCATTAACATGATGGGCTGTATGTATAAACTTTACAGCCTAGAACTAT